ATCTTTGATTAGAAAGATGAAAATGTTTCTATGATAAGGCTTTTCAATCCTTGGCATTGCTTCTTCATCGCAGCCATTGTTGTCAGCGTTCTATGCATCCCCAACAAAGCTAGTACCCTAGTCTAATTGAGTAAGAATTGCTTGCATCTTAATCTGCCACAAAAGAAAATCTACTATTGCTATCCAAATGCGGAGTCTTAAAATTTATGGTTGTCATCTCTAAAACAATTAACCTTGCTCAAACGTCGCTTAAATAACCAGTTTGGACCTCCCAAGAACTGCCAAATAACCTTGGCTTTGATACCAATTATTAGAAACAAACAAGATACCTTAATTGCTCTCCTACCAATTTGTTGAGAACCGGGGTAAATAATAAAAATGAGAAAACAAGAGCAATATGAGAAATAATGGATTATGAAAGAGCACAAGAATTATGTGGAAGAAGATGAGACCTTCAATATACTAAAAAACTAAAATGGTATTCATAAAATTTGATACTCTCAATCTAAATCTAAACAAGTCTTTCAAAATTTTAATATATACAACAATGATTTTGTTGTTGAGTTGAGTCTATGAATAGTCTACACCGCATGGAGTATATATAAAAGCCCAATTTTGATGTTGTGAATGAAGTAGAATACTAGAATCACGATAAAAATCCAATTCTTCCTGAACAAGCAATGGTTGGGCACCACTGTCTAGTGCCTTGGAGCTCCTGTGCTCACCCTTGTTCTTCCTTTTCGCTGCTGGCATTGAGGCGCCCCATTTGGGATCCAATGATTCCAAAATACTTTTTCATCGATCCCAAAGTCCTTTCCTCCAATCAAACTCTCAATTCATGATGAAATTTGATCCCTTATCAATCTGGACTTCCAAATCAAAATTATCTAGACTTCCTTCATGAATTAAACTAACAATTGGGTAAAATAACTTTAATTAAAAACCAGTAAATTATGTTCTAATTCCTTTTCTAATTATAAATTGGGTTTAAAAAGTTGTCTGATGATGAGTTACACGATTCCTTAATTAAACATATAGTTTATTCCAAATCATAGGCATTCAACAATAAATAAATATGATTTCATCCCTACATAAATCTTGTTCTATGAATAACATAATCTGGAATAAAGTTACCCAGATTTTGATTTACCATATTTCGAAACGGATTGCATTTATAGCAGCAGTGGATCTACTTACTCTCAAACGAGGTTTCAATAATCCCAATTATCAAATATTAAATTCCATGCTTATCAAAAAAGTTGAAATTTCAATCCGAAAAGACAACTTTCTCCTTAACTCCCCATAATTTGGTCAACAAATGTACCGTTTGGCCCTACCCTTTTTGGAGAATCTCTAAAAAGAAGTCAATTCAAACCGTCCAATTAAATTAGAAATGATGACAATATTTTATTATTGAGAAAATTTCACTATTGGTTTCAACTTATTACTTAAGCAGCAAGTTGATCTAAGAGCTTGTTTGGTAGAGCTAAAAAGTCAATTAAAATCAATTTTTTAACTTTTGCTTTACAATTACAACTGTTATTTTTGAATTCTTCTCTCACAGGCAGGACCCACTTTATTTATAACAATCAAAAAAATCAATTATCAAAATTCCTACCAAACAAACACTACTACTGTAAAAAAGAGCAAATAGATCTTCAACATTTCATTGCAAAGTTGAACATTAATCCTTCACTAAATTGTTATGTAATTCTGGAGAAATTTTTTTTTCACTCAATATCAATGTGTTATTCAAAATAGACTAAATCGAATACTATTCAACTCAAAAAAAAATCAAGAGTTCGTTTCGTTATAAGCCAAAACTTATAAATATAAAATTCGTCAAAATATCTAGAGAAATAGCTTGTTTAGCTATAAAATTAGTCGATTTGCAAATGAAAACGATCACTTTAGGCAAAAAAATTGTACTAGTTCGACTCTACCCAACTTCATAAAACAAAGCACCGAGACTAAAGAGGTTTTCGGATTGTGAAACTGAAGATTAGAATCTAGTTTTTATTACATCAGTAATCTGAGGACCATTCATGCAATTTTCCTTATTGTTAAAGAGTAATATTTGACTAAGCCATGTAATAATATGGGAACCACTTATGCGACGACCCGAACAGCCGAACTTGTGAAAAAGTACACGCAAGAAAACAATGGAATAAAATAGAATCTTTCTGTTCCAAGAATCATAATGGCCCCACCTGTTTATTGACTTTTTTGCCCCTACTGTTCCTTTTATACCCCCACTGCACAGTGCACACATATAAAAAAAAACCAGACACCCCTACCCAGCCCTCTTGTGCTTGATTGTAAGATCAATAAAGCTATCAAATAATTTTGTTTTTCTACAAAATTATACATAGAAAAAGATTTGAAAAAATAACTTGAAAAGGGTGTTAGAAAAATGGGTGAGAAATTAAAGGAACTGAGTTTAGATGCGGGCTCAAATTTTGTTCCGAAGATCATTTCAGATATTCTAACAGAAGTTTCAGTGATCGAAGATTTCTCGCAGAAATTATCAAAGCTGGATTTTCATGTTAACGCATTTGAAGAAGAATTGAAGAAGATCAATGTTTTCAAACGTGAGCTTCCAATTTGCATGCATCTGTTGAAGGACGGTTAGTACTAATTTTTTTCTTAAAAAAAAAAAGTTCTTATTTTTATGCACCAGTTTTTAGCTTTTTTTTATAATGATTTGATTTTTGTGTACCTATTTTTGTTTATTATTGTGGGTTCTTGATTTTTTTTTTTTTTTTTTTGGGTTTTTTTTTTTTTTTTTTTTTTTTTTTTTGGGTATGATTTGATTTTTCTTTAGCGATTGAGAAATTAAAGGAGGAGGAATTGCAGTTAAAGGGTGAAGAAGTGAGGCCAGTGATGGAACAATTCATACCGTTAAAGAGGGATTCTAATGAAATTGGAAGGGATAAAAGATCAGGAGATTTCAGTGAGAAAAAAAATTGGATGAGTTCTGCACAGCTGTGGAGCACTCCAGTTCTGTATGAAAATAATTTTGATAGCAAAAATCAAGACTCTGGTTTACACCTCAGATCGGTAACATTCTCAAGAATTATTAATTTTTTTGACTGCTTTTATAGGTTTTTTTTTTATTGATTATTTTTGTTTGAAATCTGATTTTCGATTATAGAGGTATGAAGAAGAGGGTGGCATTCGAAGTGAGTATCAGCAGCAGGTGTGTAATTTTGGCAACAGGGGAGGGGCATTTGTTCCTTTCAAGAAATCTTCTGGTGGAGAAACGAAGGAAGACAATGGGCTTGTATCAGTTCAAGATTTAACACTGTCAAGTCCTGTGATTGAAATGGAATCCTGTGATTTGAGTATGAAAGGTAAATGTGGTAACGGTAGGGTACAACAGCAGCATGAGGCACCGCGAAAACAAAGGCGCTGTTGGTCCCCGGAACTGCACAAGAAATTTGTCGATGCACTCCATCAGCTTGGAGGAGCACAAGGTGAGGATCTTAATCCTTCATGCCTCTTTAAGTCCCCACCCCACCTCCTGGCCCCGACATATGTATTGTTTTTGTGGGGCCAGGTGGGGTTGGAGGGGGATGTGAACAATGTTATCTCTAATGATATGAAGTGTGAGTTTATATTTATGGAATTTTATTGATGTAGAAGGGAAAAGATTGATAATTTATTGAAGTTGAGACATGTAATTTTAAAAAGAATAAGGAATTTAAGCAGATTAACATTGGTTTCTTGTCTGTTTCAAGTCTAATTCCATTCTCTCTTAGTAATTTGAAGTTATCTTCTATGAAAATTTTGACTTTTCATGTAGAATTCTGTTGAACAATGCCAATAGGACCAGAAACTAGTGACATTTGATTTCCTTAATAATCCATTAATCTTCATATGGCTTGTTTTGCTAAGATACACGGTCAGGCACTGGTCAGTAAAGAAGATAAAATCATGTATGAACTGCATGACAAACATGCCCTTATAGAATTTCTGGACAAAGCTGTTTTGTGTGACTAGAAGTTATATTATCTCTTGATACGTAACTCTCTCTTTTATAGCTAGGATTTAATTTAATGTCACCGGTGTCTTTATTTTGTAGCAGCGACGCCAAAGCAGATTAGAGAACTCATGAAAGTGGATGGCCTCACCAATGATGAAGTGAAAAGCCATTTGCAGGTATATTATAAAACCAATTATATTTTGCTTTGTGGTTGAATCCTCTTAGTATGTTTAGAAGCAGTACTGGGCAGGACTAGACAGTAACGAATTTAAATTCTTTTTCTACTGTTGACTCGTGTTTGATACGCATCTACCGAACATGACTTTTTGAACTCATATGAACATTTTGACCAGAAATTGTGTAATTTTCAGAAATACAGGCTTCACATACAAAAGCTTCCAAGTTCATCGGCTGCTGTATCAAGTAGCTCATGGTTTACACAAGAACAGTATGGAGACTTGTTGAAGGCAATCGTCACGCATTCTGGTTCCCCACAAGGCCCATTAAACCATGGAGGGTCCACCAAGGGTGTCTCGGTTAATGATGGTGATAGCATGGAGGATGACGAGGATGACAAGTCTGAAAGCCATAGCAAGAAAAGTCTACTTCAGCAGCCAGTTGAGGACCATGTATAGGCAACTACAACTGAAATTTTGCTGATAAAAACATAGGTGAATCAGTATCTACATACATACAAATAAAACAAATGTTATACAAAAAGGTGCTGAGTTTTTTCTCGTGTGTCTAAGTTATTTAGGTTATCGAACTATTAGAATTTTAAGATGTTTTTAGTTTGCTTGTTTTAAGTTAATTTGAGCCCTTTTATAGTTTATAAATAGGGAGTTGTTTGACAATTTATGTCGTAAGAAAATTCAATGTTGTTTGTTTGGTACTCATGTTGTTCAATGAACTCATCTTGTTGTCAATCTCCAATTGTTTTGACTTTTAATTCTTTATCTTAGGTAGCATGTTTGGTAGGGAATATTGAATAGTACTAGATAGTTTTAACATACAAAAACCTAAAAATCATGTTTACTATTGTCAAGTCCTATCCTATCGAATAGTGTACACCAACATTGAATTATGTATCTTAGGTAGCATGTTTGGTAGGGAATATTGAATAGTACTAGATAGTTCTAACATACGAAAACCTAAAATCATGTTTATTATTGTCAAGTCCTATCCTATCAAATAGTGTATGTGTATACCAAATATGCATTGCATGTGTTTTGTGAAACTTGTTTACTTCACCATGCAAGAATATATCCACTTTTTATAAATGCATGGTTGAAACAAAATTTGCTTCAATTCTTTCTTATCTGCAGATAGAATTTATGCTTAGTCTTCTTTTTTTCTTGATCCCTTTGTTGGATACTTGTTTCCAAAAAAATTCTTTTCGACGTTCTCCCTTTTAAGAAACTCTATTCTAGAAGAAGGATGGGACGATGATGAGGAAGGCACATGAACATTTACATCAGTTTATAAACACATTGCCACGCATACCCTTTGCTTCTTAGTGTTTTCATTTGTTTGTTGTTTGATTGTACTTAGACACAAGATAATGCATCTGTACAAAGTTTCTAGCATAAAAAAGTTATGGAAGTTCTTTTCAGAACAAAAGCAGCGTTTTGGTAATGCAAGGAATATTAATCTTCCACAGGTTAAGTACTTCAGTTCTTCAGTATTTGTAGGGAATATTTTGTATGTAGTAGAATGTAAGCAGGATTTTATATATTATTTAGCAATTAAATGATGTGCCGTATTACCGGTGCTTAGGAATCATTACACACACACCCCCCCACCCCCCTTACCGGTATAGTTTAATATTTTTCAATTTATCTTATGTTTCGTTGTAAATCAGATTTGATTATGGACCTTGGCTACTATCAAATGTACAGTGTCAATTCATATTGATGTCCCTCTACTATTAAATGGAGTGTTATGAATTTTATAATTAAATAGATGGTTTTAAATAATTTTAGTTTCTATCATTTTAACTATCTTGGTCTAAATGAATTATTTAAATAATAGTATTTTATTGGTAATTTATTTTTTTCACGTTGGTTTTCCGAAAATATAGTCCTACAAACAATAAATTCCTATGACTTTTTAAATGGTTTATGAATATAATTTTCTTCCCTTTTATTTCAACCTTTTGGAGTCGACTTTTGCTATTCTATTGAAATGAAGTCCCTGATTGGTTGAGTTAAAATTTTTTATTAAAATTTAAGTGAAAGTCAAAAATTAATTTTAACAACACATTTTATTAAATTAACAAATTTTTAATCTCACATTTCATTGATTTTATTAAAGTTCACTAAAAATTTGATTTTTTTTATTAAAACCAATCAGATATAGATATATTATAATATATTTTTGGTGCTTATCATCATCTCTTATGTGGATTTGGATTTGACATTTGTAATATTTATATTCCTTTAAAAATTTAATGAATTGTGTATTTTTCTAAACTTGAGCGATGGTAATCTATTTGTGAAATATACCTACACCATGAAATTGAAAATAAACCACTAATACACCTTAGGTACTCTTTTTAAGTCCGTATAAAACTCTATCGTCATTTTTTGCAAAAAAAAAAAAAAAAAAAAAATTTAGATGCATAAAGATAATTGTTTTTCTTGTTCGACTTTAGTATTGTAAATATAATGCTTTGTTGACCATTTTTTTTCTAGCCCAAAGCTCAATCTTGTAGATAGGTATCCATATTATTCATGGTTTTCATATTATTTTTAGATTATCTGAAAATAAATGGCCACTCAACTTGAATGGACACAATTTTCCCAATACATTCTATCCAAATGGCATATATATTTACCTTGAGAAAAGGAATAAAGAAGAAAGAGAAATGTTTTGTTTCCTTTCTTTTCTCTTTTCTTATTATATCTCATCATTTCATCCACTATTTTGTTCATATTTCCTGGACTGGTTTCGAAGTTTAAATGTGAAATAGAAAGTTATATACTCGTACAATTAAACACTTTCGTCTTTAAAACAGACAATAAACCAGGTGAAATTGAGTCTACGTCGTGTTTAGTTCCATAAATCCAACTTATATTGCCAACTCTCACTACTTACAGGTTTTAAAATTTAGTTCACATGGCATGAAAAATTACCAAATATAACGTTATTTCTTTCGCAATTTCTCATTCACATTAAAAGTTCTTGAAAAAAAGGAAAAACTATGGGTTAACATGGATGGATTTGGATAGTTCAAATCTTAATATAAAATCAAAATCTATTAAACTCAGATGAACGATTCAATTAAGACTAAAAAAATGAGTACACAATCTCAAACGAGACACAATCTTGTGGGAACATTTTAACGGATAAAATCCCATATCAAAGAAAAAAAATTTATTGAATGTTATTACTTTTGCTATTTCTCATTGACATTAAAAGTACTTGAAAAAAAGGAAAAAACTATAGGTTAACTTGGATGAAATCGGATTAGCCAAATCTTGATATGATATCAGAGTTCATTAAACTCAAATTAGCAATTCGACCCAATTAAGCCTTCAAAATTGAGTGAACGAATTTCAAGATTGATCTGTTTAAATGAGCCACTATCTTTTGGGGACATATGAAGTGATAAAATCCCATATCAAATAAAAATAAAAATATAGATCAACATATAAAGATTTAACTATTCATCTTAATAAAGTTGACGTTTAAAGATGAAACCTTAAGTCTTTGGGCAAATTCGACCTTATCCTGGATCGTTTTAGGTTGTCTGGTTTGGGTTTGTATTGGGCTTGAATCGGGCCACATAAGTGGAGAGCCTATCATTCACATGCATAGATGTAGAAAAAAAGTAAGGTTTATATTGAATTTAGACTTTAAAATATTTTTATAGACTTTTTTCTAGTGACTGATTTTGTGGAAGTGGAAATTACAGGACTAAGTGTCTCCAAAATTTCAATTCATAATTAAGAGTCACAAATTTTTGTTTAAAAAATTAGATATAATTAAAATTTTAAATATTAGTAATAATATTATAAAATTAAACTAATCCTAGTCCGCCCTACCCCATAACCCCAATTCAATTTCTTCCAAAACCTTAAAAACCATTTTCACTCTCTTCATCTTCTCTCTTCTCACTCTCTCTACCAACCCTCACCATGCAAGACGTCGCCACCCCTCTCTAATTCAACAACGCTGCTCTCCTCCCTCTCTACTGGCGGCGCAGCCTCGCACTACCACCGCGATATGGCATAGTATCACACAGTGCAGTAAGACAGTACAACGTAGCCTTGTGAGACAGCATAGCAAGACAACACAGCACAGCTTCGCACTATCGCCCATCTCTGTCGGTGATGTTGCTTTCTACCCTCGAAGTGACACCGCAACTGCGTGCAGATCTTCCATCATTCATCGGTAACTCGAAGGCCACTGCTCATAATCAGTTCAGAAGGGGTTATGTGGCCACGCACAGTGACCTTAGCTACGAGCAGCTAGCAGTAGCAGTGTGCCATATGGTTTGTAATTTGGATTGATCTTTGGACGAGCAACCACCATGGTTTATGATTTGTTTTTTGTGGTTTATTTTGATTGCTGACATGAAGGATAGCTGCCATGGATTTGAGATGGTTTTTGGGCATAAAGGATGGTGAACATGCCAAATTTGGTTGATCTTTGTTGGCTGTTGGAGAGGTGGTAGTGGTTGTTTCCATGGTTAGGTGATGTTGGGGTGGTTTTTTATTAACCATGGTACTGGTGGATCTAGTGCTGCTAGTAGTAGATCTAGTAGTGACAGTGGATTTGACGGTGATAGTGATGATGGTCGTAGCAGTGGTGATGGTAGCCGTGGCAGTGTTTCGGTGATTGTGGTAATGGATAGGATATGATGGGGTGGTGTGGTTTGAGGTATTTGTGACCAATTATCTAGTTGATTCTAATAAATAATTTGGTTAATTTATATCAACTAAATAATATGTGACTTAAAAAATGTGATCTTAACTTACATTTTATTAAGTTGTGACCATAAATGATTTGTGACAATTAATTAATATTTTATGATCATGAAATAAGTTGTGACTTGTAAAATTTATGATTTGTAATTAAGGAATAACATGTGAATTTGATATATTTGTGATTCATGAATAAACTGTGACTTATAAAATTTTTAATTTTGAGACCGTGAAATAATTTGTATTTTATGACCAATTAATTCAATAATTTGTGATCAAATTGTATAAAATCGTAACATTAATATATTTAACTAATAAAACATATATTTAATTAATTATTTTATATATAAAATTTAATAATGTCTTATTTTTGAAGTTTTAAATTTTATTTTTCAGTTTTGAAATAGTTAATTTCTTATATATGAAAATTTTCGTTTGTGGACTTCTTAAGCTTCTATTCACTTTTAAATATTCTACAGACTTCTACAAGAAAATACTCTAAACTTTTGCATACTTTCATCTTCAAACATTCATAAACTTTATAAATTGTGAAAAAAAAAATTTATTGTATATAATCATCAAAATAAGCTACATAAACTCAAACGTTAAAAAAAAAAAAAAATAAATAAAAAAAATAAAAAAAATCAACCACCCCAAGATGAAAAACAGTGGTGAAAATTAATCTTTATCATGAACTAAACTTAGAGTAAAAATTATTAAACTTTTAATCAACCAATATATATTAAACAAATTAATGTATTTTTTTAATGAAAAGGAGGGAAACAACGGAAAAGAAGAGAGGAAAAATAAAGTAGAAAGTAGAATATTATATGAAAAAAATAGGTTGAAGAGAGAAATACTGTTCTTCTTTTTCATGAAAAAAGTTAGTTAGGAATAATTAGTAGTCGATTATTACTCTAAAATTCGTAGAATGAAATAGTAAATATAAATATTGAAAAGGAAAGGGAAAAAAAAAAAAAGATTCAAAGA